TGTCTAGAAAGCCAAAGCGCCCCCCCCCCCCCCGGAGCAATCCCCGCTGTCAGCGCCACCCTTAGCGGACGCAGGGAAGCCGCTTCCCCCGTGGATGGGGGGGGAGACGACGAAGGACCGGCAGCCGGTCGAGGAGAGGCCCACGAGCAGCACGGCGAGGAGAGCGGCATGAGCCGTCACCAGGAGCCCCGCCGCCCTTCGGGACCCGATGACTCCGCTCCGACTTCTTTCCGCCACCGCTGCTGCTCTTCTTTTCGACGAGAAAGGAGGATAGGCAGTTGTTGCCGCCGGCGGTGGCATCGTCGTCGTGTTCTGGAGTGGGGGAAGGCGACGGACGGGATGGGGGGTGGGGGTGGGGTGGGGGTTCTCCATCAGCGACACCCCTGCTACCCTGTGAACAACGCTGCTGCTTGGGAAAGCAATTTGGTTCAGACTATATGGAAAACTTCCCCCGAGTATGTGGTATGGTGTATGCATCTCTCGCGGGTCTCAGCCCATGGATGCTCAAGCCGTACACCAGTAGCGTACACAACGTACATCCGGACCGTTGTCGAATCTTGCGGGCTCAAGCTGCTAGAAGTACAGCATGCCATGCTGGCAAAAATTAAAAATTTGCCACGGACGGAAAATTTGCGAACTGCTGCTACTGAGGTCAGCAGCCCCCGCCTCTTGCCAACTACCCCACATGCTCAGAAGCTCTCTAACAACCGCTTTTAAGCTCTAACGGACGGTGCTGACAACGGTCTCACACCCACGCGTATCGCGCACCCCCAACAGCGTACCACTCCCGGTGGTAGTTTATTTCAAGGCTCACCATGAGCCCGAAAACTATCAGTTCTCTCATATCAAACACCAGGTGACAAAAAGATAAAAAAAACTACAATGGCACAAGTCCTTTAAGAGTATATTCCCTAGTGGCGATACGTTCAAGCAGCGAAACGCTGGATACATCCGGGTGTGTTGTTCAGCGATACCCCGTGAATATGCACGTGTCGTTCAGTCGTTCGTGGGATGTACAAGGATCGATTGCCGCCGACAGATTGAAAAGAGAGATAGAGTCATACTCATCAGGTACAAGCGTCTACCGCACGCTATACTGCAGTGACTTTCAGTTCGCTATGCCTACAATAGCGGTACGTTGTGAGGTGTCGCGTGTGTTGTGGCTTGAGGACGTTAGGGGCCTTCTGCAACGACACAAACGCCGTAACCAGTGCTGCGACTCATGAAACGTCACACATACTTCCTTCGATGGGATGATAGGATAACAAATGATAGGTTACGACACAGGGCATGCGATAGGTAGGCTGAGGCTGCCAAAACAGCTTACAAGTACGACAAGGTGCTGCTATCAATGACAATGACACAGCAGGGTTGCGCTTGTTGGCGATGTGGACGGTTGGGACAAGCGAGCGGTTGAGGCGTGCTGGTTGAAGGTCAATTGGTGGTGCTGTTCATAGCTAAACGCGCGTTCCAACTTCATTCCAAAGAATTCCACCAACCAAATTCAACACTCACCGACAATGAGGCTGCGCACAAGCCCGCGAGAGCTCTCCCTTCTGTCCAACGAGCTGTAGCGGGTAGGGCGCAGCCCGCAGCCCGCTCGCAGTCGATGTCAGTGATGCATTCACGGTGCCCCAGATTTATAGCCATCCTCACCATCCGTTTTTCGATTCGCGGGGCCTCTGAGGGCGCTTCCTTGCAGCTTGGGTTCGGCAGTGCTGTGTGTGTGTTGCGGCTCCCACACTGCTCCACGCACATCGAGTGTGACTGTGGCGGTAGTAGTCATGTACCATCGCGTGTTAGTGGCGGGAAGAGTCGGGTCGGTTGTAGCAGGGAGGCATGGCGTGATTGCAGGTGGCCCCGTGCATCACACACAACGCGGCATGACCGCCGTTGTCCGAGGTTCGGCAGCAGCTTTGCCGGGGAAGCGATGGGCACAGCAGCCGCACTACCAGGGACACCAGCAGGTACAAAGCGGTTGTCGGGGTGATTCATACACCCTGGTTGCGGTTTCGGGCAGAGGGGACGACTTTTGTTTCGATTTGTTGGGTGACAGCGTCGAACCTACGGCGGTGGTTGCATGTGATGGTACAATGAGCGCTCTGCTTGGCACCAGGTGGAAGAACTGCTGTACTATCTACTGCTGTACTACCTTGAGCAATGCAGAGAGAGCCATATGGAATCACGCGCAAGTTTTGCAGGATCAGATGGGGCTAGTTGTATCATTTACACCTTTATGGTTGGTCCAGAGGTGCATATGTTGTTGTGCAGTATCTTGACTTGGTCACTTGTGCGTCTTGCGCTATCCGGTGTGCGTCTGAATGTCTGAATGCATGTTTCGCGCCAATCGACAAGGCCGGGCTTATTGCTCCCCATCTACTGCTGTAGATACCTCCCCTGTTGAATATCGTACATGCTTGAGGCTAGCAATGCCTGCAGCACTCGATAAATCGCGGATAGCTGCTCCATCTCTGTCGCCACCTTTTAAACTACCAGCTTCGTGATCTCCAGTCTGTCTGCCTGCTCGTCCGCCGCTCTGTCGACATGCCATCTGCACCCATCTCGCCTCCTCTCGCCGCAATTGAATAGCAGGCGTGCGGCCTGTCGAGCAACGCTTCTCAGAAGCCTGCGGACGGCGCCGAGGGAGAGGGGTCCAAGGCGAGGCGCACGGAGGAGCAGGCGAAGAAGGTGGCGGAGCACAAGGCCGCGGAGATGGAGTACAGGCTCAGGATGACGGCCCTGAGGAAGGAGGTCCAGCGGGAGGTATGCATAGGCCGCCCCCGTTATGTGTCCTGCGTCTGCTGTAGCAGTGGCTGGGACTACCTCGTTGTAGGAGGATTGGTAGGTGGTGCCCACGGGATCGATTACTACATACCCCCTGTGCATAGCGTCGATAGCGTCCCCGGCCGCCAAGGGGGTGGTGCAGGGAGCGTAGCAAGTTGGGCATGTATAATTGGGCTACAGATGAATGCAGGATTCGGAATATGGAGGAAGGCGTCAGCCCTGGAAATATGTTGATACAGGCACACAGCTGATCATTCTCTTTTTCTCCCTACCTTGATTACGAGAAAACACCAAGGAAAAGTCAATTTTCGAGATGCCAGGTACGCGAGCGAACCCATCCCCCGCGCCGGCGCCGGCACCCGCCGCACCGGCGGTGTCGGCGCCCAGCGCGGGGGGATCGGGCCGCCCTCTCCCGTTGCGTGCGTTGGCACGCTTCGTGTCCGCCTGCACTCCACGCACCCACTTACCGTGCTATACTACGGCTGGGGCATTGGGGGCCGCTCCATCGCTTGACCTCGAGCGGGTTATATGGCCGGACGGCACCACAGCTGACGCGGGGGACCGCGCCTTCGCCGTCTACATGGCGACACCGATACATTGTAGTCACGAAGCTAGCCACCGCGCCTGGCTCCAGGAATTTGATGGAGGTGCTACGCGAGGCGGAGAAAGTGGAGCAGTCCGTGAGTGGGGGGTCTCCGAGGTTCCGGCAGAAGGCAGCGATCAAGACGTGGGACCGCCAGCCTTCGAGCTAGAGGCCTCATCCAAAATCCAATACTTTCATTAAATGATCCTAGGCTAAGAGCAAATACAACAGATTTCTCGATGCCACTGCTGTTGTTGTCAGAGACTTGTCTACACTGCTAACTGGGAGGCGTGCACTCGGCCTCACACTGACAGATGTGGTATTTGGTGTCCTGTTTACTGTGATTTTAAAGAAGGCGAATTACTGCGGACTCCCAGGTCGAAAATACGCCTTCGTCGCCCAAGTCTAAAAAAAGGTACTTCAATCAATTTTTGCTTCGACATCCCCCGCCCGTACTACCCTGACTCCGTGTCCTGGGCTCGTGCAAGCGCAGCCAAGCAAGGCCCACCTCACCATCACTCCTTCCCAGCAATGCTGTCCGTGCTGCTGACACCAGCCTAAATATTGTTGCTAATTTTCACCACGACAGGTAAAGGACAAGCGAGAAGCCGATGCAGTGACCGCCGCCCTGGAGCGCCGCCGTATCGCCAAGAGGCAGGCCGCCGCTCGCGCCGAGCGAAAGAGGAAGGCCGCCATCAGCATCGCGTTGAACGAAGAGAGGAAGCAACAGCTCAAGGTGTGTACGTACATACAGTACATGGCATGCCTAGATGGTTGTTCAGAGGTGTAGGACCTCTCGAAGGTAGCTCGAAGATAGCTCTGAAAGGAAGGTTGCTCTAGAAGGTTCGGCTCGGTGGTTGTTCAGATGTACAGCGGTACCTCTAGAAGGTAGTCTGCCGGGTTCACCAGACCCTTCGACTCGTGCCCCAATCTAGCGAATTGGTCGAGGCTGCCCACCGTCGGCCCGAAGTTCTGTGTGCGCACCTCAAGTACCGTTTGTGTGCGTGTTATTGCGCTATTCACGCCGCTGTGCTTTGTCCCAACCCATGGCACAGCGGTTACTTTTCCCAGTCCCCTCCTCTGGCCCGCAGGACCCTCCAAGAATGGTGTGGCATCTGAAGTGTACCTCATTACTCCGAGCTTGTTCCCACGCTCCGGTGTTGGGTGTAGCGAACGATGTTCTTGTTGCGTTTCACCGCTCATGACACCTTCCCCCCTACTACGCCAACCCATGACCGATTGCCGCCGCCGCACACCCGTACAGGAAAACTATGAGGCTGGATACAGGGAGAGTGCTCGAGTATTTTTCGAGCGGGAAGAACGCAAGGTGTGAAGATACGTGATATGATCCGTTGTGGGGGAAATAAACCCGCAAGCCTCTGGTGCGCAAGGCTGTCGGACTGACAAGTGATTTTATTCTTTTTGGAGGTCTCACCACGCCGATTTTGTGTTTGTCTCCTGCTTTTTGCTGGAGGGTCCGTGCTCCGTGAGCATGTGCTTGGTGTTGAGCGATTCGTGTGGGGAAAGGTTTTCCGGTACATTTTTGCTCGTCCTGGCGGCTGACTCATATGAAGATGCGGTTCCCGCTCTCGAGCTCGAGTTCGCCCTTGTCATCACCCCCGGTTGCGACCCAAACTCCATCGTGCTGCGTGGGTCCCCCCGTTCCCTTCACCAGAAAAACATTCACGCGATCCTGTTAGAGGAGCTGGAGGCCGAGAGCGAGCACTGGATCAACACGCCAGAAGACGTGACCGCCAAGATCACCGACGACCTCTGGGAGGCGCCGGGGAACAACACGGCGAAGGGACAGATCAGCATGCCGGACGAGCACCTCTGGCGGTTCTCCGCGGACGTGGGGCTCTACAACCAGGAGGAGGACGTGAGTGCCTTGTTGCCGCTCTTGGCACAGACTGCTCCCCAATATCGTGTATTAGTTCTACGTGCTTTGTTGCACCGCTGGTCTTACACCAACCTTGGTCTACCGACCGAGATATGAGCCCATCATGACGAACAATACGATCTTGTGGTGGTTGCATCTTCTCTTCCTCTGGTTTTCGTGTGTCGCTGTGAGTGCAATGGAGTCAACCCTACCCTGACCCGGTTCAGACAGGCAACGCTGACGATACTCGTCGAGCTGCGATCACAATGCTCTCGATCTCAAAGACACGTTTCCGACAACAGATTGAGCTGCACCGTTTGGACAAGTATGCGCCAACCCGCAGGATACATCTTCGCAAGACTCTGATTTCGAAGTAGCCTAACAACAACGTCGTATTCTTGTTGCTACGCCCAGTCGGTATCTAACGCGCTGTCTCTTGCCCTGTGCTAAAAATATGCAGATGAACACTTCAAACACACAGCAACGAAGCGATGCACACAAAACAATGCTTGGGCGCAGCCCACAACATGCAACCCTACCCACCTGCTGCCAGCCGCTGGAATGTTGTATTACCGCTGGAATCAGCTATGGCACTGATGTTTCAACCGAGGACCCTCTGCACTAGTGCACCCGATATGTTCACAAGAACGAAACAGGGAAAGTCGAGTTTTGTTTTGTCACAGACGGCGGAAGCCTGCTCAAACTTGAAATCTCACAAGATTCGCGCTTCGCGCCTTGACTCGACATCGGCATTTGAGACCCGGTCGCCGAAAGGGTACGGAAATCAGAATGAGAGTTCTACGTGTATCGAAAGCGATGAGAGTTTGAAACGGCGAGGCCGCAATGCAGCACGGTTTTGCCCTTTGGAAGCGGGAAACTCAGTTGGAAACCCTAACCCTTCCGGTTCCTGTCTCTCTCTATTCCTCTCTCCGTGACGTGCGAACGACCCCCCCTCCCTCCCCTTCCCACTGCCATCGGGCCCCGCAGCCGTCGGAGCGCGACCCCTACCTCCGGTCCCGGATGTACTCCCGCATGCAAGAGATGCACACGGCGGGGACGTACGCGAGAGAGCGCCGCACCCGCTGGGACAACGACACGAGGGGCCTCCTCAAGGAGGCAGACCGACTCCTCCGAAAGAAGCGGCCGGGGCCGCCGGGGTACATGTCGCGGCTGGAGTCGTCGGGCAAGGCGACCCAGTGGAAACCCATGGAGGCGCAATTCGGCGACGAGTGACCCACCCACTCCCGGCGGGCGGGCGGAGCAAGGGGCGTCGGCCAGTATGGAGAGGCCGGCGCTCGGTGTGGTGGCGTGCTTTTGAGGGTCGCCCGTTGTGTAGACGCAAATGCTGTGGTTTGGCAAGACGGGGTTGGGTGGTGTCTTCTAGCGCATGCTCGTGCAAAACGGTACTATTAGCCTCTGTTGGTGGTTGTTCAGTCTTGGCGGGCCATCAGTAAAGCGGCTCCATTCACTCCGGCCACCCCGTGCGCGTCTTTCTGTCCCTATAACTGCGACCGAGACGGAGCAGGGGTGCCTGGTTGCTTTGGATCGAAACAGATCTCGTATGGGTCCGGTATCTTTGCTGCGTCGCATGTTTTACGTGAGGAATGTTAGCTCGTGATAGCAGCAGAGTGGACGGAGGAACCCTTTTGCTGTTTGTGTTTCATACGAACGGGAATATTTTTTGGGCAGCCATAGCCGACGGGTCCCGGGGCAAAAGGCCATGAGTGTGTCGATTCTCACGCTTGAGCTCAAAATCAAACTTTTCTCTTGAGTCATCTCCCTCTTTAGGACATGAAATACCCTTTTTCGCGGGAGGCGTACCGGTGAGATGGCTCGATACCACGTAAGCCTTTGATATTCGATGTGAAAATCGTGTTCGAACGGCAGCTAGCTCTTTTTTGGCGTTGCTTGTGAAACTGAGTCTGGCCTCGCGGAGCGTGAGGTATTCTTCTTGCTTGCTGTACAAAGGGCAATGGGTTTTGGCCACAAATTTCAGGAGCATTTCTGCTCGAAATAGGTCACGCTAGCGCCGTGTACAGCAGTAGGGTGATCGCCACCACATCCCGTCCGATCTTCGTCAAGTTACGGCGATACATTCATGGACATCGACGTTTGTTTGCGTACTGCAGCAGTACGAGGCACAAGAGAGCGTGGCGTACTCGATTCCGCCCGGGCAATGTCGACGTTCACCTCCCTATTGTAGATTTACGGCCGAAAGATGCCCTTCAAAACTTAAAAAAATCGGGAAGAACGAATCACCGGAGACTTGTACCAGGGCATCTAAAGCGATGGAAAGGCTTCCTCGGATCAACCCGTAACCAAAACCACAAACCATTTCCCTTTGTTGCGACAATGAAATTTCTCGTGTCCGGGGCCGCCACTATCTATCCGCCGAGGAGGTCGAAGCGTCCTCTTGACGTCTTCGAGAGTAATCTCCTGCGTCGCCGAAAACGACGGTCGTCTGTGGTCTGTGCTGCAACGCCTCGACCACTCTGTCGCTGCTGCCTAGCCCGCTGTTGCCGTCTACGTGCACCTCTGTCAGCAACGGGAGCAAGGCCAGCTCTTTCGGCAGGGCCGTGAGGGCGTTGTCCGACAGCCGGAGAGTACGAAGGCTGGAGAGAGCGGCTACGCCCGCCGGCAGGTCTTTGAGACCGTTCCCTGTTAACCGCGAAAGCAGGAGAGCCCCGGAAACGTTCGAGGCGGGAGGAGTTAAGGCCGACGGTGATTGTGAAAAGGAGCGGACAGCCCCAAGAGCAGCGGCAACGGGGTTGGCTAAAGCAGACCTATTTGTACGGGCGTGCAGAGTACACCTCGACTTGATTACCGTGCGGAAACCCCCACCCTTCCCTTCTCTCTCGGGCTGCCGACATGATTTGCCCCCGTCAGCGGATAATCCAGTGGGTGGAAATACCCAGCCGGTTTGCATTAGTCCGCCGGAAAGTCTCATGACGGATGGTAAATTTCCGCAGAGGGGCGGACACACTCCTTCAACTGCACTCTCGTGTGGGGTTCGCTGTTGCGACAGCAGTAGAAAACATCAGAGAAAGCACATTGCAGGTCTGGGAGATATACGCCAACAACACAAGCCCATGCACCATCAACATCGCCAACACTCAAGGCAAAAATCAGCACTCACCACTGACGTCCAGATGCTCCAAGGCCGGCAACTCGAACACTGGTTCGGGCAGGACGCCGAGGTCGTTCTCAGCAACGTCGAGCTCCTTCAGCTTCCCCAGCCGGGACAAGTGGACGGCCAGCCGACAGACGCAAGCCTCGCCTATCTTGGCGCACATGAGGTTCTGGCATACCAGGTCCTCGCTCCTCCTCAGCAACAGAGAGGTCGTCGCGCTCCCTAGCCGCGCTGCGTCCTTGAGACTCCGCGCGATAACCATTGCCCTCTGTGGAAGAGAGAGATACTTACAACTCCTGCGTGTGGACAGCGACAGAGAAGTGCGGGAGACAGACAGACCTGATCCGTCAGCCCCATGGACCCCTGGTCCCGTGACTAAAGCCATTCTTCGCAGCAGCGGGGGTAATGATGAACGCCACACACCCGATTGGTGAGAACGTGAGCACAGAGGGAGGGGGGCATTTATTTGTACAGAGTACGAAATGTTTACTTTATAAAAGAGCAACAGGGCGAAAATGTATGGATATGCGTTTTTTCACGGGACTGTTAGCTTTCGTTGCGCAATATGCCACAGCAGGTAGCCAAACAGGCAGTGCATGTCACGTGCAGCAGTAGCAACTGCCCTACAACGAGATTACTACCAGCTGATACAAACGTGGGTGAAGGGGCCGAGTAGGAATTGAAACAACAGCTTCACGTCGCGTACACTGAACAGCGTTGCAGAAACTCCCTCCGCCCTTTTCAAGATGGCGAGAGTAGGACAAAGTTATCACGAGAGAGAGCAGGGTCAAGGGCGCTGACGTGCATCACCTTCGTGATAAGGATCGTCAACAGCAGGTCTCGATTGAAACCCGGTCGCATTGAGCAGAGGAAGGGAGCGCGTCGGGGTATTGCGCGGGCAGGGCTGCTGTTGCTTTGGCCACCCCAGATCTACGACGAGAGAGGTAGATGGACAGAGAAAGTATGAGCGAGATCTACGAAAATTGCATCAAACCTTTAACGAACCTTTAAACCAACAAGCTGGGGTGGCACCCAACATAGCACTCCGCTTTGCACGCTGCAGCCATAACACACCTCTCTTTGCTTCTCCCTACGTATCACAGCAAGAGTGACTCTTCTATTGACGCTGCTCGGTGCTCGCTCGTGAAAAGCGGGAGTTCACTCCAGTCGGGGAACAACGATGGCGGCAGTAGGCGAGGGCGAAGACAACAAGAGGCACCAGAAGTTTGTCCTTCCGGTCGTGAGCTCACCATCCAACCTTGGTCCATCAAGCCGGCACGGGCTTCCGAGCGAACCTGCCACGCCCAAAGCTTCGGTGCTCGTTCAAGGGAGGGCCGGTGAGAGAGCCATCTGTCCGTCCTCCTATGTCCTCCTATGTAGTGTTCCGTGAAACCGAGAGCGTTCAAGACGTACCATCCGAGAAGATATGAGAGATTCCAAATTTGTTGTACTGCTGTATATTCCACGGTTCCAACGGCGTGTGATTTCATCCGCTAGCGACACAGCAGCAGCAGCAGGGACAACAGCTGTGCCGAATGTTGCACTGGGCTGTAACCGTAGAGCTAGGGAGCGTGGTACCGATGGCGCACCAAGCGTCTGTTGGGGCGAGGGAAGTGTAGGCTTTCTAGCCCGATGGCCGATGGCCCGAGTGTCACATCTTGTCGAAGGTCGCATGTCTGGCAGTGGCGAAAGCATGCGGTTACGATCTGCATCCCGAAGTATGAATCACACGACAGCAGCAGTAGCGTGTCAGCACGTGTTTACTTGCGCACTGGAACCACAGATAAGCCCTCCCCCCCGTCTTCCGTTCTCGCGGGAAGAAGTCCATTAATGAGCAACCAACACCCGCGTGGGAATAAGGCGGATGTTGCGTTGGCGCGCTGATCTACAGCAGTGTTGCACGTGTTGGGATGCATAGACTACATATCTCCGCACTCTTTTTATTAGCCCGCAGAAAGGGATTTGGGCAGCGAACCACGCGTGTGCGAGCAGGTGCGCGTTGTGGCGCATGCACCGAACGAAGTGCCTGCATTCAAGATGTTGAAGCAACACAAATGATGTCGAGGGGGAGAGCATGTTGAGATGGCGACCGTTTGAGTCGCACCCCGTCTCGCAGATTTCTTAATTTTGTGGGAGGTGTCTCGCCTCTCGGATTTCCGAACAGAATCTCTTTGCCGCGCGCCCTCCTCCGCCACAGCAGCAGCCCACAGGCGCCTCACCGTTCCGACCAACCAACAGACCTACCGAGGCGAACTTGGCGCCAGCGAGTCTTCTTGGTGGCGCAGACAACTTGTTCGTAACCTCGAACACTCCACAGCAGCAGCATTGCTCGGCCCATGCTGAGCAAGAACGGAGTATAATTTTTGCAGCGCTCAATGATCGATTGCAGCGATCAACCCGCACCCGCCCACAGACGTTTCTCTTCGTTCGATCGACGCAAAAAAAATCAGGGCCAGTCTCTTCACCTATTTTATACAAGTACATAAAATAGAAGTAGTGGGAGCAAGAACGAGAGCCACTACAGTGACTGAACCTTGCGTTTCCCCTTTACCCCGCCATTAGATTGCCATTCTGTAGCCGACCACTCCGTGGTTTTAAACCGTGGCAACAGGGAATTCATCAGATCATTAGAAGACAAAACATCGACCATGACTTCGAGAAGGCATGGGATGTCTTTTGTCGCCAACATCCTGCTGTATCGAAATTGCAAGAATCAATGCGTTTCCCCAACTACAGCCAATTGCTACAGCAGTAACTTCCTTCGTTCGCCCTTGATTTTCTTAGCGGCTGATGTAGTAAAAATATATGCATAGCATTGGGGATCCACTCCCACGCACAATCACACACGTTGGGGTGAGACTTGCGTCAATCGTCGTTGTGGTGCGTCCCCTCTTGAAGGTTTGAATTGAATATTGGAATGGAACACAATCTTGGCGTTTCCGATCTTGGAATGTCTGGCCTTCCTTCGGTGCCGTGTAGGTATGTTTACGTTTGCCCGTTGTGATGATCACACGAACGGCTATCATACATCTTCTCCTTGGCCAGCCGGCTGGCATCGTCGATGCTAACTTCCTAACTGAGGACACTGCTGTACGCGTCCCCGAACCCCTCTCTCGTTCCATGCGCAAGATTGTCGCGCCTATACGCGTCCTCGATTCCTCCTTGCGCTCCATCAGCAATTGTCGCTATGTATTACTTGGCACCAACGAGCACTGAACTGCAAAACATGCCGAGAACAGGAAGGAATGCGAAGCATTTTGCAGGTGTCTACCCTTTTTGATCCCTCCGGTGAGGGCCACCTCCGTGTGTTGTAGGGATTCTTGAGAAAGATGCGACATATGCATATACCGAACAGGGGAACTCAAGAAGGCGTGCCTACATGTAGTTCGGGGATTTTTTGTCGACTTCACGCGAATGACAATCTTGCCACGGGGTTTTGCTCGAACCTGAGCGACTTCTTCCGCCGATGTTTCGATTGTTCCAGGCATTGATTGGGAGACTAGTGTGGCGGAGGGACTTTGATGGGAGACCAATGCGGCAGAGGGACATGTAGCCGCGTTGCAGCCACCCCCCGTCAACGTGACCTGGAATGTTCGGAATATATTTACTGGTACTGCGATACTCGTGTGTGTTTGGGAGTTCCTTCCCTTGAGGCTTTAACCGATGTCATCGGAAACAGTCCCGAGGTGGGTAGGGGAGGCGTAAGGTTCATATACACAGGTCTCCTCGCCAGCCGTTCCAGGTGCCGTAGTCGAGCTGCTGGAACCCCTTCCCCCCCAAAAAAAACATTCACCGTCGCCCCTGCTTCGCGTGGGGTTTTGTAGTTTCTAATATTTCTAATATATTTGTGAGCTCGCCGTTCCAGGTGAAGACTTGCTTCCAAACTGTACCACCTCTCCCCCCCCGCCCGTCCCTCCCTTGACATCGATATATAGATCGGCTTAGGAAACCATTTTTGAGCCACCTTTGGCAAAGTAGGAGAGATTTGTCAAAGTATTTAGCAGGGATGATTGGCCATCGGTGATCGATCCTGCGGGAACAAATGCTCCGTCCTCTCGAGGACGTGCGGTCAATGGTCTGACCGCTTCTAAGGCATGCTAAACATGAGTACGCCCCTCCCCCTCCTCCCTCCCCCCGACGGCAGGCGGGCCGGTAGACCGCTACCGCGTTGCGTCTAAAAGGTTGTGTCGCGTGGCGAGCGTGTTTGGGTGGGCTGCTGTCGTCATCGGGGCGGGCGAAACCGCCCTCGGCGCCGTCGTGTTCAGCAAATGGGTGAGAGACACAAGACATCGGAGCCATTTTTTTTGTGTGTCCGTCTGTCTGTTTCCTGTGTTGGACCACTACCATTCCACGGCCGGTTGCTTCGTCCAATGGAACGCAACCCGAGCCGTTCTCCCGCCTGCTGTTCCTCGTGTTGGCCCACTACCGTTCCACGACGCGTTGCTTCGTCCCATGGGACGGCATGCCGGCGTCTGCAGCTGCCTGTGTTGGTTCACTACCGTCCCACGACCGGTTGCTTCGTCCCATGGAACGACATCCGTCTCGGCAGCTTGTGTTGGTTCACTACATCTCATGAAACGACGTCCTTCTCCGGCCTGCTGCTGCTTGTGTTGGTCCACCATATCTCATGAAACGACATCCTTTCTCCGGCCTGATTCTGCTTGATGTTGGCTCACTCACAGCGGCGAGAGGGGGGCTGGTGGGCGGGTGTGCTAGCGGTCATGCTGGGCATGGCGGGCACGGGCATTACCGCCGACACTCCCGTGGGAACTCCACTCGTGACGCGGTTGGTATTCCTGGGCGTGGCGTCCTTGATAACGAGCCTCGTCACGGCGCTCGCGCTTGATGGCGCCAAATGGCTGAGCATAAAGGTGAGAGGGTGGCTACTACGGGAGTTTGTGAGGGTTGTTAAATATATGCTGTGTTTTTAATGTGCATACAAGCACTGAAAAACGAACCGTTCGAGCAATAGCCACAGTCGAAGGGCTTTGTTTTTGAGAATACCTATACGTACAATCACTGAAAATCTAACCGTTCGAGGCAAATACAGTCGGAGTTATTTTTCTTCTTCTCCGGAGATGATGATGGGTGTGCGACCACTTACCGCAACATGCATGTCGTGGCTGGTGCCCCGAGGCACCAGCCGTGCGAGGGTGTGCCAGCGCTTGGTGCTACTTCCGAGATCTCGTTCGGTAAAGGTTTGGTTTTATACCGGCTCGCGTATAACCGGATGGGGAGAAGGCGGAGTGTTTCTTGTGCGTTCGTGTTAAATAGTGGGCGCAAACGAACTGAGAACTGACATGCCCGAAGACTGAGGTATCTCTGTGTGTAGTTCGCACGTCGAGCGGTTTTCATGGAGCGTTTTCTTTCTACATTCGTCACCTCGACCCGCACGTGACGCTTACTTGCCCTGCGTATCGTTCGGCATGCCGAATGCCTGGGGGTCATCATGCTCTCCTGTGTCTCCCCGCCGGTGTGCTTTCCTGTTGCTTTTTTTCTAGGACGTGGAGATGTGCGCTTCTGACGTCCGTTCCGTGTGCCAAGAGTGCACCTGCTCCAGCTCGAACCTACTGTGGTGAGAAGCGCTGGGCGGTATCGCCATCTCACCGCCACATGCATATATTTCTATCTAGGCTATAGGTTAGGCCGTATGCGCGAGAGGCGCAATCGCTCTCGCTGAACATCATTCCCAAACCTTGCCGTTGTGCGGGCGGCCGGCTCTTGCTCCCCCCCCCCCCCCCGCCCCGCCATTAACGGGCTACCTTCACACCCCCTCCGTGTACGAGCAAACCCGCCCCCAACCCTCCCTATCGTTCCCCGTGCCGTGACCCTCCCCCAGGGACATGTGCTTCCCGCCCCTCAACGGTAGCTGCGGCGGGATCGAATTTGCCGCCGCGCCGCTGCTCGCGTCCAGCGTCGTCCTCCTCGCCCTGGCCCTAGTCTCCGCGGTTCTGCTTGCCACCGGCATCAAGGTCAAGTTCCTCGGGGGCGGCGTGGAGGTCGGGGGGGAGGAGGCCCGGCCCAACCCGGCCAAGACGCCCGGGAAAAGGAGGGCCCCCTACAAGTGCGTCGATGGTGCGGAGCCCCCTACCCCGGCCGACGTGCTGCAGCGGCGGCGACGGCAGCGGGAGCAGCAGCAGCAGCAGGAGGAGGAGGGAAGGACGCTGGAGGAGGTGGAGGAGGCAGCGGGGGGCGAGGAGGAGAGGAAAGAGAGTGATACTGCTCCTACTGCTAAGAGGGAATTCCTTACCGGGGCTGAGCCGTGGGCGGTCGGGTACGTGGACCGGCTGGCGGGGGGGGGCAACAAGAAGCGGCGGGATGAGCTCAACAGCAATCCTGGGAAGAAGGGCCAAGATGACGGCGAGGATGTATCCCAGTAGCAGCTTTGTGACGTCCGTGGGCGGTGGTCACGGCGGCGATTGCTCTCTCGGGGAACGTTTGGGTGGGCCTTTCCTGACGGCGTTGGGGGGGGAGGTGAATGGTACGCCATGGGTACCACCCTGGTGTGGGGTAGGTGATCAAAGGTGCACCGTACAGCATGGAAATCCCTTGCCCAAGACATGTTGGTGTAGAGCCTTGCGCTTGATTAACGACGCATTTTCACTGTCTTGGGGGGCGACATTTTGATGACGGTAGATTGTACGTTGAAGGACGTCACGGTTGACAGCATCGTTACGCGAGTAACTTCCGTGGGCCCTGTGGGGTTGGGGTGATTGGGCGTTGTTGAGCCTGTCATGTACTTGTTGTATGGGTGTGCCTTGCAAGAGATCGGCTTGTCGGATTGAACCTGTATTAAAGTTTGCGCTTGTGTGACATTGCGTGTTTATTCGCAGACGCACGGGAAGTAACAAGCCTATCATTCTGCATGTTCTGAGGCTGCGTGTTTATTCGCAGACATACGGGAGTATCGGATCTATCATTCTGCACGTCATGAGGTTGCGTGTTTATTCGCAGATGCACGGGAAGTATCAAGTCTATCATTCTGCACGTTATGAGGTTGCGTGTTTGTTTGCAAGGAAGTTGACTCACGGGATTCAGTCTATACCACCATGGTATGTTTTTCACGGGTAGTACTACGCCGTGTGATGTCCGCGGAGAGGTGATTGTACGGGATTATATAACTTACCGTATGATTTGCGGTGCAACAAAATTCCGTGTTTCTTTGCGGGAGAGGTGGATTTGCAGGATTACAACCAGATTAAAAACAATGGTGTCATGCATCCACCCGCGAGAAGTTTTGTGTTTTCTCGCGGAGGAAGGATTGTGTTTTTCCTCGGAAAGCATTGCGGTAGAACCTTGACTGATCACAAATAGTGGGGAGTGCCAGTCATGACTGTGTACCGAAAAACGGGGATTTTTAGTTCTGGGACCGGATTGAGAAGAGATTCACGTCGCGATGGTTGTCAGGGGAGTGCGATAAGGGAAACGTGTTAGTGTTTTTTCATCCCGTCCTTGTATGCATAGGGCTCAGCACTTGTAGGCGGAGTGCACGTTTCGTTTCGGCTGTTTCGTCGAAAAGCGGCTGTTCACGCAGCACGGGTTGACTTTTCGCATGTTGTGACGCACGTGGGCGACCCATCATCGATCTTGATCGTTTCTGGGTGCTCCCGAAGCTTGAGCCCTTTTGCAAGCAGCAGCAAGCACGAGTGTGTAGAGCGGGGCTAGCGTAGTGTATGAAAGCAACGTCAGGGCATTTCGCAGTTCGCGGTTGTGTCGTTGTATGCTGTCGGAGTGAGCGCATGCATGGTGTCCGGTAGCCCCCTCTGGTTTTCACTGACAATCTGAGGCATGCATCCCCGTCTTGGATGGAAGTAACACCCCCACCAATTTGTGTGACAAGGATCAGCGCCTTTGGGGGCTTTCGTGGAAGTTTCCAGCCAAAGATCCCCCCCCCCCCCCACACACACACACACCCGATGCTTGTTTATTTTTTTTCGAGGGCCCCATGGTACGCGTAGCAGATAATCTTTTACGTGTCGGATAGAATGGGAAATGATCCAGTGCCCGTTTTTTTTTTTTTCCCCACGCGAGAGAAGAAAGCCAGTTTGTTGGGTGCAGCCCGAATCCCATGGAGAAGAAGTAACTTAAAACCATTGTATGATTGGGACGCGTAACGTTGAAAAATGTGGTGTGGAAGTGCTGCCGGATCCGTTTCTTGTTTTGGAATTTTCGGTACTATAATCTGTGTGTGCTTTTTGGCCCTCCATGAGTGTTGAAGCCTGCGTCTTGATTGCATAGATAGTAAGTTTGAGGTTTCCTCAGATTTTCTCCCCCAAGGCGAAGCTTGGTCCGCAGATTTGTGGGCGTGGGGTTGCCTTGTCTGGTGCCACCCAAGCGAAGCAGAGGGGGAGGGAAGGCAGGCATGCTTCTATTCCCGATGCCGCCCTCCGGCGTTAGCTAGCGGGGGCTGGGAGAGAAGCGGCCCGTCATGTAGGAACGGCGATGTTGTCTAGAGGCAGAAGAAGTAGTGCCCCTTCTTGTTGCGGCATAGAGACGCGTGATGTCGATCGAGCTGCAGCAATTAATTCATTTTTGAGTCTGCCGTATTGTCTGTCGAGTGTGGAGGGATGTAGACGAAGCGGCGCGTCGCGTGTGCTTTGGCCGTCGGTTGTTCGCGTTGGTACAGTAGTAGTGATGATTACGAGGAACTCGTGCATTTCGATGCACCTTCAATGGAATCTTGCCGTTGATGTTGTCGCCCGGCGGTGTGCGTGTGTGCCTGGAATACTCCCGAAATAATTGGGTCGGTCGTAGGTCGTGCCAAGCGCGGCTTGCGCAGCGCGTGTTTAAGCGGGCAACAACGGGTGAGAAACATAGACTTCTGTGGGGGATGGGATTTGGGGACGACTTTTCGGCCAGCGGGTTGAGTGCACTGACTGGTGGTTGCATCACCAGGCGGTAAAATGGACGAACGAATCTGATGCATACTCGTGTTGTTGTGGTCTGGTTGTTTCGTGTTGGTTGGGGTCTGTCTCCGTTCTGCCCGTTGTCGGCGCGGATATATATCCGTTCTGGTGACGTCATGCTGTTTGGCCTTCAAGTATCGGGTTGGCGGCATCATGTACTACGGTCTTGTGGCCCGATGCCGTTTTGACGGGTTTTCTTGTGTTGCTTTTGGCTTGTGCTATTATCGCCCTAAAAACCCGGCCAGAAGGACGGAGAGCGGGGAGGGAGGGATCCGGTAAACCACGTTTTTGGTGTAACTTACAGTGTAAAGTACCATTATCGTAGTGCGGAATTTCCTCTCGTCGTTCAAGCGGCTGCAGAGCAAAATACCGGTACATGTTGCGGTATTCTTGGTGAGTACTAAATAAACGTTCGCTGATTACATATATATATACCGTCTATGTCTCAAGTTGTCGGCCGCGGCTCCTGTGGGTCTGAGAGTCGGGAGTCGAGTAGGGAGGGAGTAAACATTGCTGTTGGAAGTAGAACGAACATAACGCGACTACCAGTCTAAGGGGAAATCACATACTTCAATATCTATGTGACCAACAGCCCGCAGCGTATTGACTCGATCGGCGTAGACTCTTGATGTGTGGAGCGTCGTTCTCACCGGCATACGTTGAATAGAAAAGGTTTTGTGGCACGCAATTCGGTGATTGGTCAAAACGCCTGCCTGCGGCGGAATTTCACAAAAACAGGCACGACCCAAGATCCTTAGATCCTTGGTCGATGGGTGGCGTCGACCACGGTGGAATCGAGGACGGCAACTTGGGAAATCTTGGGAAATCGTGTCTTCGGATGATGACCTTTTGTCATCGTCCTGGCTGACAAGGAACAGGGGTGGAGATGGATCCGCCGACGGACCGATCTCCGCGTGTGGTCTTGTTTGGGGATGGATGATGGATATTTCTGATCTATCTAGGCCGGACGGAGAATCCTCTCGCCCATCATCCTCGCCGTGGCTGAGAGAACCTTCCAAAATACCCTACTGGCATGCAGTTTTATGCGAGAGAATTCAGGATGATACATAGATATGTCTTGATCCACCCAGAGACACAAAGAAAGAGAGGAAAGGTTGGCTGTGTGTTACGGTTCGTGGCAATAGTTCCACCGCACGAGCATCCCCGCAGTGAGGCTACCGCAATCTGCGGTGCCCTGCTGCCGGGAGTAGAGACTTGCTCACCGCTCCAATAGCTAGCTACTCAAGTACGCCTTGACCATAAAACAACTACCAAGGAGGCCTTTGCTCCGACACATACCAGCTCCGGCAGCTGGAACGAGCTCTCCACTGTGCTCATCGAACTCGGTCATGTTGTGCATTCGCTTGAGGACAGGCTGTAATGTCTATATTCCCACGCCTACAAGTATTGACCCCCTATTGGTGGCGTGGCTACCAAGGTGAGAGCTATGGACATGCATGATCGACCATGATCATGGACAACCATAGCACAGTCGTAGTCGCACGATATTTTACATGTGGTTCAATGACATCGCGCGCCCTGATTGATTTTTCATTTCGACCCCAGCGTAAGGGTAGCCTTATCAGGCACGCCAAAGGCGTGATTCAGGCATATGTGCTAAACAGCCCGCCGCAGGCGAAAATTTTACCCCCAAAAAATTAAATTTTATGTTAAAAAAATTTGGGGATATAAGACGCCCAAATTATTTTTTTGGCTCAGAAAAGGACCCCCCCCCCCCCAAATCCAATCCGGAAATAATCACACCGTAAGACTCAGCCTAAGACGCCCAAATGATTTTTTTGGCTTAAAAAAGGACCCCCCCCCCAAATCCAATCCGGTCATAACCATCCATGCACAATGTCAAGTTGTCCCTTCCGCCCCCGCCCCCGCTCTCTTCCGTCGAAGTCGCGCTCGCAACAGAAGCGCGGAACTGCGGCGGCGGCAGCACGTCGACGGGGACGAGCAGCGGTGGCAGCAGCAGCAGCCTCGGCGGCGGCGGCGGCGGCGGCGGCAGCAGCAGTTCCAGCGGTGCCGGGGGCGTGGTCGATCCCAAGCACCCGAGCGACGCCAACAAGGAGATGTATCGATACCACCCTGACAAGAGGACCGTGACGCTCTGCACGGAATTGAACAACCGGCGGGAAGAGCAATATCGCGGACATTTTACGGGAAGTGGAGGAGGTGCTGGGCGAGCTGTCTGAGTCTAAGATAGAACTGAAACCCGCGCTCAAGGAGATGGTCGGGAAGGTTGCTCGGATACTCATGGATGCGGAGTAGCTGCCCAAGGAGGTATCTTTGTTCTTCCTCGACCCCCTCTTCAATGCGCCAGAGCGCGGCGAGTCGTGCGCCCTGGTGGGGTACATGTGCCCCGCGCGTGAGGACAACGTGAGCCTTGGTGGGGAGACCGAGAACAGAAAAATCACCCTCCACCGCCTGAGATAGAGTCGGCTGTGGTGGAGAGGGGCCACGGCAAGTCGTTGTGCGTCAACGTCAACTGCTGTCTGTGCCTCAAGCATGAGGACGGTGGCTACGCGGCGCCGTGCGCTCGCGACGACGAAGTGACAAGATTTTCGGAATTTGTTGTTCGCGCGCTCTACTTCGCCGCTCTCGACGCGAACGACGTGAAAGTCACGCGGATCGTGGAGTCGTGTGGAAGCGAGGACCTCGCGAAAGGACCGTTTCGTCTCGGACCCTGGCTTGAGCGTCTTCCGGCCGCGGGACACCTGCTGAATCTGCCCACCACCCCCTTCTTCTCCTCGCCCTACCGGACGGCGACCAAGACGAGCAAGAGTGTACCACCCAGGGCTCGCCGTGAAGGCCGCCGCGCAGATCATTCGGGCGCAATTGGGGGAGGAAGGGTCGCGCCTTTCTGACAACGGGCGGGCAGTTTTCGACTCCGTGGGTGCCGGAACAGCTGCCGCGGGCCTCAGGGACTGCCCGGAGGACATCAGGCCCCCCCCCAGCACCTCCGGGTCTACTGCGTCGAAGCAGGCCGTCAGCAACCTGAGGTCGAGCCTTCAAGAGCTCCTAAGCCGCAGTCTCGCTTGGCAACAGTCGGCGGCATCGGTTGTGTCTCGTATCTTCTCCCCACCGGGCGGCGACGAGAGCAAGAAATCTGCAAACGCCGCGAGGGTGGCCAATGCCGCTGAGTTCAACAGACTTGTTAGTCGGCGACCACGACGGCGTCAAGAATAGCGGGGTGGCAGGCAGCTTGGCCTCGGGACGAGTCGTAGTCGACGGGTGGATGCCGGACGTCGGCGACAGCGACCGTTTGATGGAGCAGCCGGGGCGCATGGCCAGAGGGTCGCTCACACTTGGCACATGAATTCCTTCGTCGTACCGAGAGAGGAAGAACCGACGGCAAACGTCAGTAACCTCGATGTGGCCCGCCCCACTCCTCCTCAACAAACATCGTCAGCAGATCAGGGGCTCCAACCTCCGCCGCCGCGATCAACGTAACTTTGCAGACGGCCATGCCCACGGGCTCCATACTCTTGCTTGGCTTTTTGTATGCCGCCTGCTTCCGTCCTAGGCCGTCCGTCACCCCCTGGCTGTTGAGAAGCAGCATCTTGTCTAACCTCCGGCGGGCTTGAT